CTTTATTTTTCCTTGTCACGTGTCTTCACCTCTTCTTAGGTACTCACAACTATATTTTCCCCTTTGTGATACGAAACTAACAATACTCCTAATAGTTTATATTTTTGATTAGCCCTATAAGGTCTTTCGACCACAAATACTCATGAAATTTTCCCATCTACAAGCTCATATTCATAATTTACACTCATTGTTAAACTCTTTATTAACTTAACCATCTCAACTTTACCAACTCAACCAGCTCAACTCCATACTTAGACCTCTCACAGTCTAAACACAACACTCATTAATGATTTTCGTATCAAAGGTCTTATGCCTAAGGTTTTCACCAAGTAACCATTTTTACTCATCATTCTGTAACAATATTATAGATTCAACATCATCTTTCCTTCGTTTATACCCACACTTCTTCATTATCGACATTTTTATCATGGATGTCCACTTTAAAATACTATAAACTCACAGCTTTACTAACTTCCACCAATCATCTTGGTTGTTCGAATCAAACAACCACACCAAGCCATTTCACTACTAACTGATGGACCCTTAAAAATGCCATGTCTCTCACATGCAAGTCTCATCCTATAGGAATCTTTGAAACTTGATTATCAAGTCACATAAAACTAAATCCATCATTGCCACTACTTATACAATTCACCACTGGTTGGTATATCAGTCTCTCGGAACATTCGAAGTTACCACAAGCACTCGACCATATATCATTAGTACCTAAGCAAAACAACGTCAGCATTGTGCATTTTCCATACACTTTCCACCATAAGTGGTATATGCGATTATATATAACACTCCTCAATCTACTCCACCCGTAAGTCAGGCTATCAAATTTTAGGTAACCAATTACAATTCCAGTTTCCAACTATATTTACACATTCGTGCTTGATTCCATCACAATTTACCTTTTCTAAGGGTTAATAATTCACCGTTTTAACCTGAACTCTTGATCATCACCAGCCTTCTTAGAAGGACACTTACTCCATCTGTCAACATTAAATCACATTATTATCTCTTTTATCATAAGGCGAGGATTCCAACAAACTTATTACCTCACTTGGAGCCGAAATTATTTCATCGAACTTACTTTACACCCACAATAGTGCTTCACTATCACACTTCTAAATTCTTACACACTATGCCTCACCTCTTATATCCAACTCTGACGTATTTTGTTCACTTACAAACATATGACCTCATATTTTGCGTTAATCACATGGAAGAACTCTCTCAATACAGTGGGTAAAAACATTCTTAGGTTTTAACCGCTCGAGCTCTTGTTGTCCTCAGGGCCCCAGATGTAATGACCCACCGATCAGAGAATCCACCCATATGATCCATGCAGTAATGATAAACTACCACCTGCTGACTGTGTTCTAATAGTATTCCCAACGTTTCTTATTTGAGCACTTATGTAGACCAACTCAACTATAATAGCAGCCTCATCACTGCGGGATACTTCCTCATCTCATATCACTCATATAACATAATAATAGTCTCCGGGAACATAATCCACACGGAGATGGCTACACACTCCGGGCACATAGGCCGCACAGAGATGGTAATATCAAGTCTCATAACGTGCACCCAGTGCACAGAGGAGTTCATATTTATATCACATCTGTATACAACAGCAAACGTGTACCCAGTACACAGGGGAGTTCATACTTATAACATATCCGTATATAACGGCAAAACTGGTACTTCGTACACTCCAGATCACACATGGACCCAGTCCATTTGGTGTCTGTCTCACCTCTGTATATATAACAGCAAAATATCTTTGGTATATTCACATGGGGCTATCCCCATAATCATAGCAGTAGTGGTATAATATACCCTGTTACGTATAAGTCAATTCGTCTTACTCTCACATTTCATTCTTCTCACTGATAGTTTACATATAAGTCACTATTATCATAATTCACATTCTCTTCGTAATTTCGTACACGTTTTCTAACTTTTAATAGTTTTTTTTTTCTGTCATGTTACCGTTCAAATCCATAGTCCATTATCTCTTCCTTGCTTATTCTTCTCACAGATTGTTTTCTCTTTTACTTTGACTATTCACTTGGCATAGTTCATAACATAATCTTTATTCCGTGAATCAAGAATTTTCTCAGAGTTCTGTACACATCTCACATATACTTCCCATCACACAGGGATCTTCTAAACATATTCGTCCTATCACAGAGGACTAATTTCACCTCAATTCGTGCACTGGAAAATTATATCAATCCTTGCACTAACACTTATACCTCAACTCATTAACTAATCTTATCATTTTTGTTTTGACATTACACATTAGCTCTTTTGCTAAACACATAATTCCACACTTTATTGTAACTTAGTTCATACACTAATCACATGATTTCCCATCAGGTTGTACCTTAGCTCATTCTCTAATCATACAATCTCTTCAGATACTTCCCATCATCGGGGATTTCATTCGGCCTCATTGTCCTTTTAAAAAAAAAATTAATAATTTACCTCAACACTGATAATTAGGCGCTCAGGCCGTCACAAGGTGTACATACATATATATGTATACTGGCACTTAGGCCATCACTGGATTATTATCCGTTTATTCATCAGAATAGGTATACTGGCCATCAGGCCATTAGGTATTATTCACAATGCATTACAACATCCACAAATAATTAGGCCATCTTAAATTACGATATTCATTCTCTGAGATTTCCAAGAGACCTCCATCATGGATCAATCCTCTTATGCTTCATAACACCTGAATCTCTACATAGTAGCCATTTCCAAGGAGAATTCCACACATTAACGCACCCATATAATCATACTTGTTTCCTTCATGGCATATCGGTCAAGCTAGGCCATTATTCCGTTACGGACAATCATACTCTCAATGAACCTTGTTCAATGCCATCCATGGCGATTCTCTCAACTTCTTCCTTATACATATACTACATAATTAATTCATCTCGCCTATGTTTAATCAACACTACCTCCTTATGGGTTTAAATCCCATATTTTAATATATCTCAATTTAACAATTGACCAGCATTATAATTTCAAGTGGTCAAATCCCATAGGATTAATCATCAATTATTCTATTTATTTCTCTGCATGAACCATCTCAATTTGTTTAAGTGTACATCATCCATCAGGGACTTATAACTTCTAGTCAGACATAGAATATTCCAACTCATACTTAAGCATACCTGTTCACCATCTTCAATAATCCAACAGGTTCTAAATCTCTCACCTTGATGAAGTCTATTCACCAAGTCCAATGTACACACTATACTACACACATACTTGGGAGCTTCACCAATACCGTTTCCATACCATGAACTCATCTCAATTATATATATTTATTATTCATGGTATTACAAGGTTCTCCCATGCAATACCGTACATATCATAGGTTTGGTTACAACTTTCACTTATAATCCAGCTTTATAAATTTCATCTACATGGTCAGACAAAACATTTAAGTTTGTTTCCCTTAAGTCCTATAATATTCATGTTTTACTTACTGCCATCTCCTGTCCATGGAGCAGTCAATACTGCAGCCACAACATCAGGCTAAGGACATTCGGTGCTCCAAGGTTGCCACGCAGGCTTCTTACGATGACTACGCATGTAACACAAAGGAATGGGTTGATCAGACCCACACTAAGGAATCACATATGCAGTAATCGATAAGAATCTACATACAACTATGCAACACACAACATAAATATACATTATCAGAGTTCCCTAACGAAACTGCTCTGATACCATAAAATGTAATAGCCCGTTACGTACCGGTATTGTTAACATTAATTATGATATTAAGCGCAGTTACAATCACAGCAGTTCATTTATAAAAACGAGAATAAATTTTTTCCGACTATTACGCGAGCATTTAAATCATAAAAAAGCGTAATAATTAAAAGCTGTGACCGTAACCGTAAACTCTTGCGGAAGACTTATTTAAACTATTTTTATAACTTACATTACTTATTATAAGTTACTAAGGAGTTCCCATAAACTCACTTAGACAATTTCCAACTTTACGTTTTATACCAATTCGAACATGTTTCACTCTAAGTTTTTCTGCGACCAAAACGCTCGCTATCAAACTCTCTTCTCCGAGTATATCCTTGTCTTACTTAATTCCCTTTTTAACAAGCTATCATATGCTAAATTCGGAGCTCATTAGCTCCGGTTATCGCCGTTTGAAGTTGGATAAGCAATTAGCCCAAACAACCCCAAAAACAGCTCCAAACCACTCACATTTCTCGAATTACTGCACTCAATCCACTCAACCATTTGCTCTCAAATTTTTATCCTATAAACTAGACATCTCAAACTTCATTTTGATATATTAAACGCTTAATTTGACTGAGAAACGAAGCGGGAATTAATTTCCCAAATCCGGTCCAGAATCTGCCTCAGGTGCAGGGGCACATGGGCAGTCCGTGTTTCTCTATTTTTTTCAGGCCGAAGATCAACCCAGATTTTCCTTAAATTTTGACACAAGTTAGAGGACATCGCAACCTTCAAAATGGCGTATGGAACGTCCCTATTGGACCTCTATGGAGGGAGATATGCTCTCCCGAAGTTCGCCTAAAATCTGCCAATTCTACAGAAATTTCGCCAGAGTTTCCTTTGTTTTTCCAATAATCCCAAAATTGTAAACGATCATTTAAACCTCAAATGTACATAATAAACACATGATAATACAGTAATAATCCAATGGGTGGCACACACAAGGACCAACAACGCTTTGGGGCACTTACAACCCAATCCAGTTTATAGTTAATACACAGTTTATACAATAGAGCTCACATTATATTTCTTACTTGTTTCAATCACATAGGTCCCATTCACATGTAGTTTCACAATATAATAATGTAATCATAACTCTAACATAGGCCTAAAATCCTTCCATCTTGGTACATCATGCCTCTCTTACATTTACAACATACACTTAAATATTACAACTTACGACTTTAACTTCAAATTGCCTTTTACAATATTACAACACCAATTACAAATTTAGACATAAATTTAAATGATACAAACTGCTAGACCTAGGCATGCCAACATGAACAATATGCCAAATACTGAAAATGTTCCTCTATCACCCTGCGGGCCTCTTGCCCGCTGCTCCAACGCTACAGGTACATCCTGAAATAAATGCACCGAGACGGGGTGAGATATACGAATATATCTCAGTAACCAAGAGGTCCTGGAGAAAACTCCACCCAATGGTTCACTTTGATGCATATCAATAGAATAAAACAACCACTTTGAAAACAGGATATAGCAAGGGATTTAGAGAAATGGGGAATATAAAGAAACAAACTACGACGATACGGGATGGTAACCCCAATTCCACGTACGCCCTGGGCATATATAAGCCTATGGGTATCATCCAAGGTGTGTTCACAGAAACCACAACCATGATGCCTAAACCAACCAAAACGCCAAAGACATTCCTAGTGTGCTCCTACCCGGATCACACACTATGACACGCAGTAAACTGGAACTCCCTCCTGGAGACCTATCCAGCGAAAGTCCAAAAATGCCCGAAGGCTAATAAAACTGTCTACTGGCCAGAGACTCGGTACTGCAGTACCCATAGCAATAATGCATGCATGCTCATGTGTTCTATACTATTCATACACACTTCCTACCGTTGCCATCAACTGGCAAGGTGGAACAGAAAAGGGGAACAAGCCCCAGTACCAAGAGGTTACCTTAAGTATTGTTTTCACAAGCTCCGCAGCAGCTTATCCCTCAACTTGGTACACAATAGAATGCCTCAATCCACTTGGTCCAAGACCAATGGCAACTCACTGAATCAAGATTCGGGATTCAAGTCGATGTACGGCAACCTATAAAATCACATACAACCATCAGTACGCGTCAAATAACGTCAAAACGTCAAAAATCACAAAATCTCCCTATCCTCCCTTGATGGTTCGGCCAAATGAGTGTTAATTTGAGATTTATTTTTCTAAATTTTCTTTCCCATTTTATTATGCCTCATTAAGTTGTCAAGAGGCCAATTCAAGTGCCGTTTCGTCATTTTCGCGTCGAATTACATCAGAACGCGAAAACCGCAAAATCCCTCCTTCCTCCTTGAAGGTTCGGCCATCTATGTGTTATTTGGGGATTTATTTTTCTAAATTTTCTTTCTCATTTTAGTACCCATCCTTGGGTTGCCATAAGGCCATTTCAAATGTCGTTTTGCCGTTTTACGTCTTTTAAGCATCGTTTTGCTAAATATTTCGCTTTGGGCTCATTTAGGTCTCTAAACACAATTTAATTTTCCCATTGATTCAAACACTTGCCAATCACAACACAACCCATCTAAGCACTATATAACTACACAAATCATCATCCAATTCATTTTTCAACATCAATTCCTCAATTTTTCCTCAAAGGTTCGAATCTTGCCCTATGACATTCCAAGGGATTTCCATTCAATTTTAATCATTCCAACCCTCATACAACCTATTATATCATCATATCATCATGCCACAATTTATCAAACAAGTCTCAACACCAAAATTCACAAGTCCAAAATCATGATCATCAAATTTTTCTAAGTTAAATTCATCAATTTTCACCAATAAATTTTATCGCATTTCTAGCTTTAATACATCATTCTAACACATTATCATCTAATACACATTTTCAAATTGAGCTCTCTAACAACACAAATCGTCAAATTCCCCCTTAGGGTTCATGAATTCAATCCAAGAATTAAACCGTTAAGATGGTGAAGAAACTTACTCAAAAGCTTGGCACAAGACTCCTCCAAGCTATCCTAAACCATTGGAGCTCCAAACAACTCCATGAACACCATTTTTCTCCAAAATTTCGTGGCTGTAAATGGCCAATATCTCACCAAAGAGAGAGTTTCAAGGCTCAAGAGTGGTACCAATGTGTTTAGAAGGTGATTTCCATTGAATTTCAACACAAAAATCACTTGATTTGGTTAAGAAATGATGTAGTTATGGAGAAAAGAAAATCAAACCAAAAATGGCACCAAAGCGGGGGGGGGCTGCTGTTTCACGGGAAGGAGAAGGAAATGGAGAGAGAAAGTGTCATGAAATTGGGACTTTTGAGTCAATTAAACCATAGGTGGGTCCTACACGCGATTTAACTTTAATCAATCACTAGTTACAGCCACAAATTCATGACCTACATATTTTTCTTGTTCATGTCATATTTTGTTTTCCTAAAATTACTGATAAAATTTTCACGCTTATCGGTACAATTATACCGCAGTATTTTTACACCGGAAAATCACTATTCATCAATTTTTCCCAAAATGACTCAATTCCATCAAATTCCATCAAATTTCATCAAAATCATATTTCCTAACTCAACAAACCATTTATAACTCATATTTGAAACCTAGAGCTCAAAATTCAACTGGCACGTTTTACGATGCAATCGTAACGCGGTATTTTTACCCGCGAAAAACACTATTCACTGATTTTTCTGAAACTTGCCTATCCACTCAATTTTTCGTTCTGAACCCATTTCCAGGGTTATTTTTACCATCTGAGACCTTCTACTCAATTTTTATCTTCCTAGGGTTGCGTGTTGGCTAATTACCGTTTTGCCCTTTCTTTGTATTTTGGCCTTATACTCAGGATTTTCACTAATCCTTCTCTTTAATTCTCATTTAATATTTTAAATATTATATTTTAGAAATGTGAGGTGTTATAATGAACATTGCATATGTATTTAGGATGAGGTTTATTGTCATATTTGTTCATGCCATTTTTGCCTAAGTCTAGTTGCATATGGATTATGTTTATTTTGAGGGTTGTTTATTATGTTGTATTTGGAGACTTATGGCTTATGATGTAATTTGGATAATTTTAATTATTACATTTGGATCTTGTATAATATGAAGCATATGTAATATGATGAAAGGAAAATAGGCCTATTACAGGATTGATTTACGTTTTATAATGTAAAGAATGCATGCAATTGGATTATGGTGATTGAAATATGTTAAGTTTGAAAATATAAGTAAAGTGATAGAAATTGAGTAATTTGATATAAACTGTGATGGGTTGTAAGAGCCCCAAGACATTGCTGGTCCTTGTGTGTGCCACCCAATGATTATTAGGTATAAATTGAGGTTAGAGAACACTTTTGCAAACTTGGGGATTATTGGAAAAACAAAAGAAACTCTAACGAATTTTCTAGAAATTGACAGAATTTAGGCAAACTTCGAGAGAGAATATCTCCCTCCACAGAGGTCCGATAGGGACGTGCCATACGCTGTTTTGAAGCATGAGATGTCCTCTATCTCGTGTCAATGTTTGAGGAAATTCTGGGTTGGGAGTCGGCCTGTAGAAGGCAGAGAGCATGGACTGCCCATGTTGCCACTGCACATGTGGCAGTTCTGGACCGAGTTTGGAAATATTATTCCCACTTCGTTTCATGGTCAAATTAGGTGTATGATATGTCAACTTGAAGATTGATGTGTCTAGTTTGTTGTATAAAAATTTGAGAGTAACGGGTTAAGTGGATTTTCTAGAATAATTGATTGAGTGAAGGATGTTTGGGCTGTTTTGGGGTTGGCTGGTAGATTTGCTTGTCCAACTACGAACGACGATATCCGGAGAAAACGAGAACTTTATGACTTGTGTGATAGCTTCCTAGAAAGGTAATTAAGTCTAGAATAACATACTAAAAGATGAGAGTCTTGTCGTATGCAGTTTGTCCGCAGAAAATTAAAGATCGAACCATGTTCGGATAGGTAGAAAATGTAAAAGTGAGATTTTAGCTAAGGGGGTTTATGGGAACCCCTTAGTGACTTGAGATATGTAATATATGTTATAAATGTAGTTTAAATAATTATTCTGCAAAGATTTTACAGTTACGGTCACAGTTTTTATTTATTACGCTTTTTATTGTTTTAAATGCTCACGTAATAAACGGAAAAAGTTTACTCGCATTTTTATAAATGAATTGCTGTGATTGTAACTGCGCTTAATATCATAATTAATGTTAACAATACCGGTGTACAATGGACTGCTACAAAATCCACCAGTTCCCGGTGCTTTAAAGGCACCCATACTGAACACAGTTTGCTTAATATCAACTTCACTTGGAAATTTTCTAAGGCAATCTTGATCAGACAAACAATGCTGACCAAAAATGAATATTTTTAAATTTAGATAAAAGATACAAGTAAAAAATAAAAACTAAGACAATAAATATTTGAAATTATAATTATAGTATAATATATAAAATATAAAACAATAATAGTTCAAATTATAAAAGGTACACTTTATTAAAATAGAATAATTGAATTAAAAAAAATAAAAATGAAAAGTGTATAAAATAAGAAATGGAAAATTACTATATTCTAGAGAGAGTGGATTTTGTTGAACTCTTAAAAAGGGTAAACATTTCTACAGCCACTTTAGATAAGGTTGTCTACAGCTACCCCAAAAACTACGCCGTTTTTATTAATGAAAGGTGTTTATATAATTTTAGGTGAATTAATGAAGGATGTTTCTGTACTTTTGTTTATTTTTTATGATATATATTTTACTGAAACACCTTTCTTTAATTCACTTAAAATTATAAAAACACCCTTCATTAATCAAAACGACGTAGTTTTTGGGGTAGTTGTAGATAACCTTATCTAAAGAGGCTGTAGAAATACTTTTCCCTCTTAAAAATAACATTATAAAAGGTCTAAAACATGTCTATGAATAGGTTTTTTTATATATTTTATTTTAGAGATTGATATTTGTTCTTTTAAAGGATATATAATTATGTCATATTAATTAAAATTATTATATTTTATGGTGAAAGAAACAGCATAATAAAAAAAAGTGAAATATTTCTTAATTTTAAATATTAAATAAAAAGCAGTGATTTATTTCAAAATAATTATCTTTTAAAAGAATGATGTTGTAAAATATGGATGACGTTACCGTTGGCACTAATGATACAATTATGAATGACGTTATCGTTGGCACTAATGATGCATTTACGGATGGAGTTACCGTTGGCATTAACGTTACAATTATCTCTTATTTATGATTTTGTAACCACTACATTAATGGAGCATCAATTCTCCATTCATAGTCGTATCTTTATATATACATAATACTTGTAGTGGCATGATCAGATGAATGAGAATAAGATTCTATCCTATTTCTGTGTCTCTTCTCTCTTACATTTTTTATCTCTTTTATCAATTTCATAATATGTTATCAATAGAACTCTACCGTATCAACAAGATCAAAAACTGCAAAAGTGCATAATCTCAAACAACAAGATCAAAGACTGCAACAGCGCATAATCTCAGTTTTCCTTTTGAGCCTATTCAAGGTATGCTGGTTTATTTTACTAGCAATTCGTTGGGTTTGTGTGTGCAAAAGTGCATAATCTCAAACAACAAGATCAAAGACTACAACAGCGCATAATCTCGGTTTTTCTTTTGGGCCTATTCAAGGCACGCTGGTTTATTTTACTAGCAACTCATTGGGTTTGTGTGCAATTAAATAATTATTTATTCATATAGTGAGTTGACATGTTCTGATTGCTTAATAACATGTGGTATTGTAAAGATTGGATATCATGTTATCAAGAAAAATGCTGTCGTATACTATTAATAATAATAATTTGAATGCATACAATATATATAATGTGGTTTGGTATGGCCTCAATCCATAAATCAAATCGTAATTTTTTCCCCATGAATCAAATCAACGAAAATCATAAAATCCTGCCTCGTAATAAATATTTTGTTCACAAATGTGTGATTTATTTTCTTGTTTTATCATTTCAAATAGATATCTTTGCTAGTCTTTCTGCTGTTGCATCTTCTTGGCTGATTGTCAATAGTGTGTTCTACTTTTGCATGATCTTCAGAAATAACTTTGTTTGGCTGCTTCAAGAAGCAATATGATGTGGTAGAAGAAGATAGACAACAGTTAAGAATTTGGGAAGTACGATAGATTGAAGTGGTATGATAATAAGAGGAACAATATGTTGGGTACAGCTCATACTTCTTATGCTGATGTGGGTCCTAAATGTAAGAAATTTTTATAATAATTGTGGGCTTCAATCAATTGTAGTTTTTCTTGTTTTAATAAAAACGGGCTAAGTCATGATCCATATAGGGGTGCAGTATAAAGCCCAGTTAATTAGTGATCCTTTTGTTTGTGCTTGGATATCTCTAAACTGATTAGTGCGAGTAACAGTGTAGGCCTAACCCATAGGCCCATGATGGGAAGGGGACTAGGTTAATAAATTGGCTAGGTCCCCTCTGCATTCACAACGTGTTAGAAAACCGTTACTCCACAACTTGTCCCATAATCAAGGAGTTGTGTGAATTGCAGAAGAAGATCCTGGTCTTTCCATTGCAGGAGCATTAGAGGAAACAAGAAGCCTTCAAGAAATCAAGAATCATGTATCATGTTTTCAACAAGTAAGCTTAAATCTTTTGGTGTTCTAAAATCATATAATGCTATTTGGAAATTTCTTACATTTGGTATCAGAGCCTAAATTATATGATTTAGAACCCAATTATTTATTATTAGACATGATTTCTTGATATTATTATTTCAAGAAATCGAAACCAAAATTACAGGGTTTTCTTTTGTAAAGCATGATTTTATAAATTCATGAAATTTGAATTTATTTATTTTATTGTGAAATATATACGGGATTACAATTTTTAAAATTGTAATTGCGAAATAGATTATAACTTTTAAGAAAACTGTATACAAGTTTTATTTGATATATTCATCCATTGAATTGCGAAACAAAAAAAAAAAGAATTCCTATGCCTTTTCTATTATAATTAACTTACCGCCACAATAGTCATTTGTCGTCAACGAGGGATAGTACTAATGTAATTTAGGGGTGTTTAGTATTCCAATGGAAAAGTAGAGATATATACTATTAGGGGTGTTTAGTCATTGATTCTAAGCACCGTCAATTCGAAATGGGTTGAAATATTTACTATTATGTTTTTAAACTTTGCATTTATAGGTTTAGGTTTTCCTCTCTACAT